TTGGTCACTTGTGACCAGAACGGGTGACCAGAACGGTCACTGATTTTCAGTGACCGTTCTGGTCACTTAGTTTTTTTTTTGGCTCGGCTAGGCAAGCCGCTCGCCGAGCAGCTCGTGAATAGTGCGAGCCGAGCCGGCTCGGCTCGCCTAGCGAGCCAGCCCGCTCGGCTCGTGCTTGGGCTCGTTTTTTGACGAGCCCGAGCGGCTCGTGGGCATGAATAGTACGAGCCGAGCCGACGAGCTGCTCGGCCCCTTTGTCATCTCTAATTTAGGGGGTATGAAAGGTTATGGAATGTTGCACAAAATTAGTATCGGTTAGCGGTATTTTGGCAAATATCCTTTTTGTTACCATACGAGGTTAAAAGTAGTATGTTAGATGTAAATTTAAAAAGTACTGTATATAAAATTATATTTTATATATTTCTCATTCAATTATTGTGAATGGTTTTAGTCGTTGCACTTGAATTTTCAAGCATGAATTGCAACATCTTTACACATTTTTAGTCTATTTATATTTACCTAATATGACACTCAAATAAAGGAAGTTTACTTTTATTTGTCATTACCGATGAGCTCTATGTTTTAATGACATTAACGTATAGGTCCAATAACACGCCAGCTTACGTTTAATTCGACATATCATTCAATTTATTATGTCATCACGTAATGTTGTCAACCCACCAAGCCAATTCCAAAAATGCTGGTTCTACCACTATTAATCTCATCTAAGGTGTTCGAACTAATAATTGAATAGAATTTCTTCTTTGGAAATCTATGAGATATTTTCAAGACAAGTGGATTCCTTCAAAAATCTCAACCTCTAGTTCATATATGCACCATCGCGATCACTTGTTCATATTAATTTGAACTCTAATGAACAAGATCTTATTACCGAATATAATTTTCTCCGAACTTTTTGAAGGGTAGCGTCCAGAAAAATTGAATACCATCACCTCTTCGCTCCGTGATGGTGTTTCATTATTAATTTTGGAGAAATTTGGTACATAAGATATATCCATTATGCATTTAATGTCATCAAACGATTTATGTTAGGCTGACAAATATTCATAAATATCAATTTTTATCATTACAAATACTTTATATAGTTACCCTTCAATCAATGATGTTTGGTCAGAAACGCAATAGACCTATCTGATCCGATGGCTTTGGGAATTTATCTTTGATAAACAAAATTGTTTTATCCGGAATATTAAAGTAAAGATGGCAAAGCATGGAAGATGAAGCAATCCGACGCCCAAGTACCTGCAAAATTTGTTTCAACAGCAGATTAGGGCTAAACCACCATAACGAAAGATATGGAAAGATTCGTGTAATTTCCGCGACTGTCTAGACGTCGTTTGGTTGATTGCATAATTTTGTAGGATATTTCATTTTGTTATTATAACCCTGTAAATAGGGTATTTCTCTTTGTAACCACTAGACAAAAGCTATACAAATTTTTTCTTGTTCGTATTGGTATATCTCATTTCCAGTTTATAGTTTCTACCATATTCAAAAGGTGTAAAAGAAATTTACATGAACTCCCTACTTGAACCTCAAAACTTCTCAATGGGGAACTAAGATATTTTTCCTCAGAGAAGAACTGAACAGTCTATCAACACTTATTGTGCCATTATGGAGTGAACACAAAAACCCCCCACCAGCCAAACCGAACCAAAACTGCAGTTTGAAACCATACCAAACCGCAAAATGTTCTGGTTTAGTTCAGATGGTAAAACGGTTTTGGTTTGGTTTAGACTTTCTCCAACGGTTGGTTTGGAACCCATATAATCTATTTAAGTAATTGTAAGAAATATGATAAACTATTATAATTTAAAAGAAATAAAATAGAGCAGAAATGACCTGGAAGAGTGCCAAAATAATCTAGATGTAGAGAATATATTTAGATAAACTAGAGGTAAATTGAAGCAAATTTTGAGGCAAAATCAAACCATGCACTAGCAACAAGAACCAAAAGTAATTGAGTAATGCTATTTAGCCCCACTGGGGTTACAACCCCAGTCTAGGTGACGCTAATGTGGCATTAAATGATAAGTGAAATTAAATAAGTAATTTAATTTCACCTTTCACTTAACCTATCATTTAGAGCCACATGGACTGGGGTTTCAACCCCACTAGAGATGAATAACATTATTCAAAGTGATTATCTATATCCACTCACATAAAGAACAAAGAATAGGTTATATCATATGTTTGCTTAAATAAAGAGTCAATATTTGTTTGGAGTTGCACAAAAATATAAAGCCATCACTTCATAAAAAGAACGAGAGAAATATGATACATACCATATGGGAGCATATGGAGATGACAAGTCTAGAAAGGAATAAGGCCACCTGTAACAATTAGAGATTTTTCGTTGTGTTAGCAACTGGATTATGTGTCCTTGAGGACCTTGACAACATTGATGCAATAGTTTGCGGGAGAGAAACAAAATAGAAGGCATACCACATTGAGATACAAGCATGGATGATCCACTGGAAAATGACAAATACACACGTCCACAAAGCAAAATATGCAATTCGGAAGAAGGGAAATCGCTGCAAGGAATTAATAATTTTAGGTGTCATTTAGGCACTTATTGTTAGATAGCATTGGACAGTATTAAAGAAGAAAAGGAAACTAAAATTTCATCGATTGTACTGTCCAGTGCGACCTAATATTGTGTACCAAACATGTTGTAAATGTAAATGCAATTCCATCCTCAAGAGACTACAATTTACCAGACGATTTAGAAATGTTTCGCCAAGGAGGAAAACAGCATTGACAGAGTGCATACAAACAACCAGCTGCAGTATAATAGTAAAATAGTCAAAACCATAATAAATGAAAATGAAGAAAAGTATTGTCTAGATCATAGTTGTTTCATATGTCCTAAGACCATGAACATGTGTAACCTCAAGTGCCATCAGTGACAAGTGTGTGTCGAGTACAAGTAACATGCAAACAAAATCGAAGTTCTTATGTCCAAAATGATAAGAGGATTATCATTCGTTCTTCCTTGATGTAACCTTCATCAGCGGCTTTTGATTCTATCTACATTAGATTTTAGAATACAGAAGAAAACATGATTCTTATTTCTTTTGATTCCAATAAGTTAACTACTTGTTTGCCTGTAAACTGTTTGAACTAAGTTTGCTCCACTATTTCAATATGTAAGGGTGGAATCGAAGTGAGCCCTACTTTACAAGCATTGGATCTTTTAATAGATAAGGGCGCAAGATTTTCTCTAGGAAAGTTAAGTAGCAGAAATCTTGATGAATCGTGCCAATAATTAATTGGTCTTATTTCTAGTAAATATATTCTACAACTGTTTTGATCTTGATGTTCGTTGTATATCCACCAAGATCAAATAGCAGACATCTCCAACTGAGAGTTTTTCAAGTACCAAGTTCACACTTCCACGCAATGAACTCATCGTTTGTCAAACTCTGTTGCAGCAATACAAGTGAGACAATGTCTGTGAATATTCCCATGTGCTGCAATTCACGAGACTGTATAAACAATACTCTTCATCTCATAGAAATCCTGAGATGTTATTAAACTTCTTCTCTAAGAACTTTGTTTTTTAGAGATCTCCACTGTCAACTCAATGGAGAGGGACATGGAAAGAACATGTTCAAAATCACGCCAGAAATTGAACTATAGAGAATGAGAGTATTTCTTTCGGATTGGATTATGTATGTGAGAGAAGATAAGAGATTAATCCAACAAAAGTGAAAAAAAATTGCACTTACAAAATGTAATCTGTAATCTTTGCCAGTGAGAAATGGGTATATTATGAGCCAAAAGACAGAATCAGTAAGTGTCACGGCCCCAGCGCACATCTGCGGACATACATAAAAGAAAAAAAATAAAGGATGGGTACAGAAAATACTAAAACAGAATAGAGGTTCGTTAAACCAGTGTCTTCTCCAGTTTGAGATCCTATATGCTAATGAGCTGTACGTAATGAATTGGCGGGATCATCCCCGAGACCCCGACTCCCCATTTTAAACAACTAGGACACTATCTGAGAAAAAAGAATGATGGAAAAATGTGGATGCCTTAATGCTTGACTTCGTCAATATACTTGATGTTTAAACATAATACACGCACGCATTCACATCTATAATTTGGATGCATTTGTAATAAATAACAGAATGCGATTTCAAATTTCCACTGCCACGTTGATTCCCTTCGCAAGCTGTATTAGAACGAGAAGTTTTCATGCGTCGGAGTCTCAGGAAATTATTACCACACTAAATTTTGTGCTGGACGGAAGACTTAAGGTTGTAATAAGACCATGTTATGAGTGACAACAAATATTTTCTGAGTTATTAAATATAGATCTAGGAGAAAACTTGCCTGAAAAAGTATTTGGAAGGCATATTCCCAAGCATCTGCAGTTCTGCAATCAAGAGGTTCCCTATGGTGATTCAAGCTTCTGGTCATGCTGGGCAAATCATCCTTATCCTCAAGTGAGGGAGCGACATAAGAGCCTCGCTCTGCATTAGAACCATCATCCCTTTCTCCATCCACTTCATGGAAATAGCGGATACATCCATGAATAGAGATTGAAGATCCAATCTACAAAATCCAAAATGAATATCATTAATATTTTGTTTCTGTAATAGGAAAGGCGGCGAATCAGAAAAAGTCAAAGGTGAAGGCGATGCAAGTACATATTTCATTGATGTAAATTCCTTTCAAATGTATAAATAGAGAGCTCTGAAAATAGTTTGTTGGATGTGTAACATACCCCAAAATAGATGGTGACCAAAGTGAAAGTCCACCTGTTTAACACCAAAACTATTTAGGAAACGAATAAACTACAACTCTAAAAATCACGTTATCACATATTATCTTGGTGTGAACTTTGTTTCATTAGAAAATTCACTCAGAACCTCATCTGTAGTCATGGTAAAGTCAACAGTGCTCAGTATTACCATATAAAGATAACAAATAAAAGATTAATATAACCATATAAAGACGACAATTCAATGCTACATAAACACAGAATACAAATGAAAACTACTGGATTTTTCAAAATTGGTCTTTATGGACAACCAGAACAGATTAACATATAAGAAGTAAATGCCTTACTGAGTGTAAAAATAAAATATCCCAGCACTATGGATAATGGTATCAGCTAGAAGCAGCGCCAGAAGTACACAGAAGGAAATTATCCTGTACGCAAGAAGCCAAAGAGGATGTATAGCCTTCGAACATGTACCCCAAACTTCATTCTTATACAAAGAGCTTTCCTTTTCCTTGCGATTCTCCCTTTCTCTATTTCTTGGTTTATTGCAGCCTTCATATCTCCATATTAAAAATGCTGCAAATACCATGGTTGATAAGATCCATGTTGCACAGAGTAAGAACCTCCAGTTCAACCAGTAGCTCGGGGCTGTTGTATCCGTTGTCATGACAGGCTGCCAAGTATGATCCGAAGCGCCTATTAAGAGGTTCGTTGTTATTTCAATTTTTGAAACCTTTTACTTCTACAATCTCCAAAATGGATCTCAGTTTTAATTCGCTCCTCCCAAATTTCACTTATTTTCACAATTTTTAACATAGATGCAACCAAAAAAATAAATAAAATCAAGAAATTCCAATTTTGCAATGCCTTCATCCATATAACGTGTCTGCACACAAGGATACGGTCTAACCAAATCAAAAGCAAATTCCAATTCCAATTCTAAATCTGATTACTTAAAGCAAAACGCATGTTTATTCCGTACTAAAGTAAAAGAAAACAAGAAAGCATAAATAGAGATTCTTGGTTTACCTATATATATATCTCAAAATGGTAAAATCTCCCACCTCTCTCCCTTTCACACAAACAATACTATGTGTTAGGGCATTAGAGTATAACGTACCCTGATTTTCTTGAAATCAATCTATCATAGTATTTTCTGAGGATGTTTTCCAGTTTCTTAATCAGGAAAAATGAACCCCAGAAAGAAGAAAACTGAAGAATATTTATGCTGAATATTTTTGTGTTGCAATTGTTGGGAGTTGGGAACAGTGCGAGAAGGGCAAGTTCGAGGGAGAAGGGAGACAAAATAGGAAATTGAATAACCATAAAATTACACGTCCAAAAACAACCAATAAAAGTAGGACTAGTCTAAACCAACTTCGATTTGACAACCTCGACTATTATTTATTTATTAAATACAATTATTTAATTAATTTATTATAAGTTGAAAATATCATTTATTTATCACCAGCTGTGCTAACTAATTTAGATGTCATTAATGATATTATGTTGAATCAATGTTCTAGTTCTCTTTGACTTAACTGCTCATGTAAAATGCAATGCACCCTTCTTTCGAAAAAATTATAAATTATTTATAAATTTTTCAAATTTTATTTTTAATCACAAATTTCAATGTAAACTGACCATAAGTAGTGTCCACTTATTTCATAACTCATTTTTATCTATTTATAAACCGAGCCTCCGTTTGACAAATTTTATAAATCAATTTTTAAATGTCATTTTCAATTACACAACCCAATAGCCCATAAGTAATATCTATTTATTCACCACTCATTTATATTTATTTATAAATTAAATAGTCTATAAATTCTTTTCAAATGGTTAAATTAATTTTTGCAGCTAAGGTTCCAAAACTTTTAAAGATGTGTAGTGTGGTCCCAAACATTTAAATTGTAGTAGCTACGTCTCAAATCTGTCAATAAATGTGCATCGAAAGAACTTATTACGATCTTCAAAAAAAAAAAAAAAAAATTGGTCAGTTGACTAAAAATCCAATGTTTGATATTAATTTGACCAGTTTAAAAATGGAAAACTAATCGTTTATTATTTAAATAATAAAAAATAGAATGATGAATAAAAAATATTCATCTCTCCGAATTTAACCAAATCCAACGTCAATCACCACCCTCCAACAACAACTATTGTTGATTTTAATTTTCGCAATTACATGAATCGCAATAAAAAATAAATTGAATGTGATTTCAAGTATGGATCACATAAGAAATAAGTATTTAGCCTATTTTTTGACTAACCTAACTTTAATCAAATGTAAACACACAATAGTGATAAGAGATGTAATGATATTAACAACCTAAATTAACTAACCTAACTTGTCTAACTAATCCAATTCGTAGAAAGCGTTTGTCAATACATAATTAATGGCAGAATATACTAGGACACCAAATTTCCCTATATTCTTTCATCTTATTATTAATTTCACAATTTGACAACATGTATTTTTACTTGAAGATCAATGTTAGCATTATATTTAATAATCTCTTTGGATTATAATCAAACTTATCCTCACATGTAATCCGATAATATCCATATCCAGAATGGGAACATATGAAAATGAATTAAATCACAAGAACATTAATGAAATCATACAAAGTCAAGAATTATTCAGAACATCCATAGGCCTATACAGTGATTGTTACTTGTGTTAAATCACTACAACAAAAATGATCTTTTGCGACAAGCAAAAAGCAACATTCACTAATTAAGTGTTGTTAAAGGGGTGTATCGCATTATTTTAATAAGCAAATGTTGCAATTGATCAACATAATTGAGATTTGGCAACATTTTTTAAATGAATGTTGCTAATGTTGCATTTTGCAACGTTCATTGACTGTTGCGAAAAATAATATATTTTGCAACGTTTTTTGAACCTTGTTAAAATTTGGTTCTATAGCAATGTTTAGTGCATGCTGTTGAAATTCTCAATATATAACATCTTGCAACGTTCATTGACTGTTGTAAAAAATTTCACTTTTTGCAACGTTTTTTCGATATTGCTATAAGTTTTACTTTTTGGAACATTTATTAAATGATGTGTTCGCTAATTGTTGCAAAAGGTTCCACGTTTTACATTTATTAAATGTTGCTAAAAAGTTTTACTTTTTACAACGTTCGCTGAATGTTGTGAAAAATATAACTTTTTGCAACGTTCGTTAAGTATTGTGAGTTTTTTTTCCTAAATATATGGGCTCAAATTGTAGAAGTCCAAAACCCACCCAATATTGAGCCCTATCGTGGCTGTATTATAAATCCTAGCTCTCTTAATTTCCCTCTCCAAAATTTGTGTTCCTACTCTTTCGATTCTCTCTCCCATTTTCAAACCAATCCTTCACCTTAATTTTCCACTAAAAATTCCACACTAAAAAATGTTGTAACTCCGGCTGGTGCAGGGTAGTCTGTTAAAGAAGGTTCTGGAGGCCATGAAGTACATAGTGACCGATGCCAATTTCGATTGCTTGGCAACAGGATTCTCACTGCAGGCAACGGATAGTAGCCATGTTGCGTTGGTTTCTTGACTTCTTAGATTTGAAGGCTTTGTGCATTACTAGTGTAATAGAAACATCTCCATGAGAATGAAACAACATAGCTAAAATGCTCAAATGTGCTGGCTATGGGGACATTATCACTCTCAAGGCCAATGAAAGCAGTGACATTGTTGCCTTCATGTTTGAAAGCCCCAGTATATACTTAATCGTTTGTATTTCAATTGGGAGAATCAGACCCTAATAGCTAGCTATTGAGGTTAGAGAGCCCAAGCCAATATAAACCACGCAAGGGAAGCTTAAACTTCCGATGTGGGATTTAGGTGTCCATACACCCCAATAGGAACCATGACAAACCACCACGCTTTTGACTCAGCGTCCACGTCGAATAGACGCCCATACACACTAAGTGGTAATTGAGATCAGAGGATGCCTGCTCTAATACCAATTTGTCACAACTGGATGCTTACCGGTAGCTTCCCTCAAACCGTAACGAAGAAAGTGCACTGAACTCAGCTGAAACAGCTAAAACTAAGTCACCAAACAGAGATAAAGAGAAGGGGGGATATGGTAAAAGAGAAGATTGGAAGAATGAGATGAGAAAAAACTGTTGAACGATTTCAACAAATTTCACTGAATAATCAGGTTACAAAAGCCCTGAAACATTCTCACCCTTTCTGTATCTATAGGCTCGGTACAGACATCACATTACCAAAAGCAATAAAGAAAATGTGTTTTAACAAAATTAATTACTATTTCATTTAATCAAAACGGTACCATATGATTTGAAACTAAACAATGTCGCATGCCTTTGAATTTCAGTTACTTATGTTAGCTTCCTATTTCCTTCCTTCTGGTTTTGATTCTTTTCCCTTGCCAACTACTCTTCACATGACAACCCTCCCCTCACCTTGATCTTGTTCCCAAGATCCACAGAGAGGAAACTGCAGTTTGATCCAATCCGCGTCTTCCCATGTTGCACAGCCTGGAGTAGAATCTAACCAATAAATAAGCTACTGGATGGTGGTGTAATTTCTGTGTGTAATGGTCCTGGACCGTAGGATGGATAATGGATGATGTGTTGGTAGTTTAGACTAACCCTCATTAGGTAATTGAAGTACTGGCATTGCCGTGTCACGTAACTTCTTCTTTAACAATGAAACATGAAAGACTGGATGAATTTTGGAGCTAGGAGGAAGTGCCAATTTATATGCCACAGTGCCTATCTTTTTGGTAATCTGACATGATCCAAAGTACCTAGCTCCCAACTTGTGATTAATCCTTTGTTCCACTGATTGCTTTATGTAAGGATGAAGCTTGAGAAAGACCCACTCCCCTTCATTAAAAGACCTCTCAGAACACTTCTTATCGGCATATAGTTTCATCATTGCCCCTACTTGTGCTAAGTTTTCTTTCAGTTTCTAATTTAGTTGGTACTTGTGATGTAGTAATTCCTCTACTGCGACCACATTGGACTGTTGGTAAGGACCCAATGAGAGTTGAGGAGGCTTGATCCCATAAAGAGCTTCAAAGGGAATCATTCTGATAGAGGAATGATAGGTGGTATTGTACCACCACTCAGCTAATGATAACCACTTACCTTATTGTTTAGGATGTTGAAATGTCATATACCTTAGGTACATTTCAAGGCACTAATTGAGCCGTTCTATCTGCCCATCAGATTGATGATGATAGGCAGAACTTAAATGTAGTTGGATGCCCATGATATTAAACAATTCTTGCCAGAATTTGCTTGTAAATATCTTATCCCTGTCAAAAATGATGCTCTGAGGTACGCCAGGGAGCTTAGAAATAGAATCGAGGAAACTTTTGGCATCTGTCACGACTGTGAATGGATACGAAAGTGCCAAAAAATGACATTACTTCGTAAATCTGTCAAACACCACTAAGATAGTATCTTTACCTCCTGAATTAGGAAATCCTTCAATGAAGTCAATACTAATGTGGCTCCGAGCATGCAGAGGTACACGAGGAGGCTATAACAATCCAGGGTAAGGAACATTCTCCCATTTACACTTCTGGCAGATTTCATACTGTAATACCTTCATTTTGATGTCCTGGTTCATACCAAGCCAGTAGAAATGTTGCTTTGCTTTGTAGATGTTACCATGTATGCCTGAATGCCCTCCTTCTTGAGACCCATGAATATTCTAAACTATTTTAGACCTGTTATTACCCCCTGAACCTACGTATAACTAGCTTTTATATTTCAAAATATTATTGAAGTATAAGAAGTCTGGAGCTGTTGTAGGATTTAACATGAGTGGCTGGATTTTCTCCCTAGCAAAGTTGTCCCCCTTGTAGCTATCAATGACCTCTTGTATCCAAGTGGGAATAATAGCGGTGATTCCTGCACACTCCACCTCCTTCTCATGCCTCCTTGATAATGCATCAGCTACTAAGTTATCAGCTCATCTTTTATACAATATTTCATAATTGAGTCCCAACAGTTTAGTGAGCCATTTTTGTTGTAGGGGGGGTTGTAATCCTTTGTTCTAATAGATATTTGAGAGATTGGTGGTCAGTCTTTATGATGAAATGGCGGCCCTCTAAATAATGTCTCCATTTACTAACAATAGTGACTAAAGCTAGCAGTTCCTTTTCATATATTGACATACCTATATTCCTAATTCCAATAGCCTTGCTTAGGTAAGCTAGAGGCCTTCTGTCTTGCATTAGCACAGCACCAATTCCACTTTGGCAAGCATCGGTTTCAATGATGAAAGGGTGATGGAAATTAGGTGAAGCCAGCACAGGTGTTGAACTCAGGGCTTGTTTTAGTTG